TGAATATTAGGGAGGAGGAGCGATCGATTCTACTTTCGATGAGTGGTAGAGCATCAAGATTGTGCAATAACACTACATTTACTGGAAAGAGAAAACTGTTGTTAGTGTTCCTAACCGCTTTGATGGAGCAATTTGCATTGCCCCGCGGTCGTAAAATAAATTAAATTGCATTTGTATAAAATCGCCCTGCAAGCGGTTTACTGCTACACCCATTTTTACGCTTGAGTCATTCCCCTACATCGTAATTATATCAAGCGATGAATGAGACGAAGACAACATCCATGGTGACACAGGTGGAAGCAATATACGATCTCCATTTCTTCGCTTACGAATTTACGATAATCGGAGTTGGATGCGTAGGCTGCCGCAGAGCATGAGGTGCCAGTGTCGAAAAGTGGCAGCCAAATTTGTCTTTTTACGGTCTTAAAAGTGAAGGATCACTTCTCGTAGTCCGCGCATGAGAGGCAGAAGGACGCTCTCTAGTTCAATGGATTTTGCTAGTCTTTAACATTCCGTGTATGTCTGCATCAAGTTTAACTCCCACAATAGGGATGCTTAAATGCCATCGCTGATGAAAAAGACAATGGCGAGCACTATCTTTCCCTAAAGAATTGCAAACATCTTGTGAGTAAGGGGGTATCAAAGAAGCGTCGATGGTATCATGTGCATCCAACAATATCATCTTTTTCCACACTGGCTCGTTCGCGTTGTCGAATTGCTGCATCGAATCTCTTTTTAAGTGGAAGCAGCGCGTGTAACGGAATAGGTAGGTAAAGAGAAACTAATAAATGAGGCAAACGCAACAGTACTTCCGTCTTCTCCTTCTCATCCTAATGAGCGATGTCGTTGAGTCGCAGATTCACAACTTTGTTGATGCGTTCGTATAAATCCAGAACGATTCTTCCAGCGTATTGCAGCCTAAATTATTACCGGGCCAATGCAAGCCTTCAAGATGAGAAGAAACCGCATTTCATCTACTGGTCGATAGAAAAGTATCCAAACGCTCCTATAACGGTTTTTATGTGACCGCATTTCATGTACTGGTCGATAGAAAGCATCCAAACGCTCCTATAACGGTTTTATTTTCTAGGTCAATCAGAGTCTCTGCATTTATCAAATTATCGTCCTTAAGCTTTTGCCAACGAAGATCAAACTCTTAGGATGTTGATGCGTTAAAAATTTCCTCCACGCGTAAAACCCCATTCGTTCGCATTAAATTTGACACTTTTATCACCTATATTATTGCTATGGCTAATCTAATTGACTTCCACGTTCCGCTAAAAATTTCTTTTGCAATTTGTAACAATGTTCTTCTCGAAATTCCACCTGCTAAGAATGATCTTCGTAAACGGCTGAGATCACATCTCCTCCATAGCCGAAACGACTGCTCTTTCGTGGTCTACTACCATCACCTTAAGAGAACTGCCGCCAAGACTCCACTTGACCTGTCTGATCGCCCACATATATTCTATTATCTGTACCCGGGCAAAAAAGGCAAATGAGGGTGAAAATGCTTGATTTGTGGCCGTGACACCAACGATATGCATCAACGGCATCCTGTACTTGTTCGTCTTGTAGGTGCAATCAATAAGAAGGATCCCATCATGCCTGTTGCATCATCTCCGTGTGAACTCTATAATTGGCTTCGACTGGAAGAATATGTGCGTATCTCGGTTGTAAAGTATAGCTTGACATGTGAAACAACTGGTTCGCACTTGATTTTCTACAAGAGTTTCCATTGCGTTCACACCGTGTCTCTGTTTCTGCCTCTCCTTTGCAATGACGTTGTCCATGTCCACCCTGGTAATCAGGATATCTATTCTTAGGGACTCTTGAATACAGTCCGAGAAATTTTTAAAAAGTGACCACAACGGATACCGTTCTATGCACCCGATGAAAGGAAGGTGATGCTCCCATTTGCTCGTTTGTATTGCGGCATGGATGGCTATCGTGAATGTCATGGACAATTGCCATGGTCCACTTTTCGTTTATTAAAAAAGGAAATACACATGAGGACAACCCACCCCATTTGTTGCCCCGTGTCAGATAGCTGGTTCTTCAGATGGTCGAGTGCAAAGGATTCCTCTCTGCGCACAGCGCATCCACACCAATCTCATAGCTGGAGGCTGACCCCATTTAGTCAAACTCAGTACAGAAGTAGCAAAGCCATTTCCCATGCATACGCGTGAGCAGATCTCTTTACCAGTTTTAAGTTGTCATAAGTTCCTGCTGGAAGGGGCTTAGACGAAGACCAAGTAGTGCCACTCATTCATTGATCTAAGGGATGGTTTTGTAAGGAAGGTCAGTGGAAGCAAGGATGTCAAGAAATCGCGGAAGTGGATGCTGTATCGTAGGTGCAAAGAGAGCTATACGCACACATAATTTTTTTGGAGGCGGTTTACAATCTTGTAGGCTATCCACTGATTTTGCGGCCATCCACTTGTTTTTATAAGCGAGTCGCGGTTTTTTTAGGATCTCCCCTTGAATATATAGAACTTGATTCAGGTCGATGAACTGAAATACTCATGTCAAAGGGCGAGCTTTACAGCTTTCTCCCTTTTCATGAGTTATCCACCATAAAGCGATCGAATTGGATATCAAATCGTATAAATTAGCATTTTAAAAGTTATTGGGGGTAAGTTGTCAGGGTGAGGATTGTATTTGTGTAACCTTTTTTTACACTTTTAGTAAGGGTTACAATAGTAGGCTTTATTTTACCGATCAGTATCATTTTTTGGACGCAGCAGCACAGATATGCCATTTTGCTGATGTCATTTGATGTAAAGGTAATGCGGCCATTGCCACATGGAATTAATGTGTTTGTCGTACCACACGCGGATAGGGCTAAGATCGGTGGTTTAAACGACTATTACTAGCAGCAAAATTTGCCAATCCATGCACAAAGGAGTAGACGACTTTTAAATAACAGCTGAAGTCTTTCAACAAACACCCCAACACATTCTGTTTGCAACGCAAATGTATCCTAGACCGTTCACGTTATCAGTAATATGCTGCATAGTTGATAATACCGTGATGCGACCCTTGTACTGAGGCAGTTTTACCTCGTCGGTTTGGCGGCGACACCATTTATGAGCCGATTGAAGTATTGCGTTGTGCTCGTCGTAATTTACTGCTTTGCTGCGGAAATTGCAAACTTAAAGCTCGTACTGCACCTAAACTACCATCACAAGACTTGTACAGAGCGATCGTGCCATCGTCTCATTCCCACGTGTTCCTTCTCTTGTATTTTGTAGTGATCTGCCATATTGTAGCATTGATGCTGGTTTTCTTCCTATTGCTGCCATCCACATCACGAAAATATGACTTGTCGGAGGAAGGGTATCTTCGTACGCTATTCGTAACGATCTCTGACGCATTGGAGTCGATGTTGTATCATGTTGCATCAAATCGATCATCGCAGCTATCATCCTGCCACGAAAGAACTGATCTCAATTCTTAGCGTGAAGTATCATGAACTCGTGATTCGCGCTGGTGTAACAGGTCAACTATCGGTAAAATCTACATGAAATTTGCGCCGAATCCATACAGGAGCCCTGGGTACAATGGATTATTCGCCCACAAAAACTTTCCATCTCGCGTGCGCGTCTGCGGTTGAAATTAGGCGCCATCGACCCGGCCAACAAGTCACGATATGGTAGATAATGTGTCGAAGGGTACTCGTTTAGTCTAACCCGACTACATGCTTCGTCTGCTCCGAATTTTTGACGATGTATGTGTTTATAGCGTGTACGTTCGCGTCCATCCGTGTCGGGCTACACAACTAGCGCACGTGATGCGATTGATTCGTGCCACCCAGTGATTACATAACACATGGCAGCATATAGATATGAAGTGATTTGAGGTCACCTGCTTTGCTTCGAGGCACACATCATGGTGCAATGTCAGTGCTCTGAACGGTGTTGCGGTACTTGACCTTTTTCAGATGAGATGTGCTTGTTTCACGCTGGACAAGGGTTAAAAATGCCATTGTGCTAGCTGCAGACAAGGTTTGCATTATTGTACGATGAGATCGCTCTGCAATCATGTGGCTGCTGTGTATGAACCTACGACCCAATCGTAGGGCTTCCGTGCCGCACGCTCTTCGAGTGTGACATTCGCTGTGTTTTGTCTGAGTGTCTGCGATCGGTCTTGGCATGCTGCCCGCTCACAATGTTGCAAAATTGATTGTTTCAGTATTTTGAGGAGTGGAGGTTAGACCTTGGGATAGGCGTAAGTACTATAGGGCGTTTGTGAGTTGCAAGCAGTCACTCAGCATTAAAATCGAGTGCTCTCTTTCATTCAGGGATCCAGAGCTCGTATTGATCAGTTAACTTAGGTCGTCCGAGCTAACTGCTGCTTGTCGCACTTTTGTACTGTTCGCGTTGTACTTGACCACCACGATGATATTCGCGCTTAGTCTCAGCCACGAAGCAGTAAAGTCCATCACCTGTTTTTACTTGATATTGGGTTCAACGTGACAAACGACAGTTCATGGTACCACATGACGGTAAAATTATACTGACTGAACTTAGTTTGCTACCTCTGACAGGATGCTGCTCCTAATAAGCTTGACGATATTTTAACGATTTTCACTTCATACTTTAGCAGTACCTGCATCGAGGAGCACGTGCCATGAGGCCCCAAGCCAGAATTTTGTGAACCCTGAATAGTAGAGCGCCTACCAACGAATAGCCTTGCCCCAGTGTTTAGGCTTCTTGACTCAACTCGCTTGCGTCATTGCACTAAAGTAGACCCTGCACAGTAACTCTAGCAAGTATCCTTCCTGTACAGGGTCTGCATCAATGCAGCCATGCAAGCGAGCTGAGTTGCACGGCACTGTCTCAAATATTTGCTGGATGTTTCAGCGCCATCGTAAACCAAAAACCATCTTTGTTTGCAAAATCACAACTCAATCACTGCCAAAAACACGACAAAACCTTACGAAAACCAGTTCGTTCTTGAAGCTGGGTCTGTCTGCGATGCAGACTCTACCTCACCGACTACAACCCATTGTAACGCGATGACGTGGACATTGCGCTGGATGCAAAGCCGTATTGAGACGGATACTGCGGCGGAAGCGGTGCCTGTGGCGCTTCATAGTACTCGGTGAAGCACTTGTCGCAAACACGCACAGGTCCATCGTCAAAGCCGATGCCAAACACAGACACGCGTCGGTTCGAGTGCTCGTGGCAGAACGAGTTACCGCACATTCGACAGTGGTGACGCCGCACGAATAGATTGAATGGCTCCTCACACTCGTAGCAGTTGTTAGACCGGGCCCACTTCACGATGCGTGGCATGCCTGGGCCGCCAAAATTCGCGGGTGCGCAACGTGATGGCACTTGATAAAGCGACGACGCTACCGAGGACGTTGGCGTCAACGGAAACCCGAGCAAACTGCCGCCACTTTGGCGGCTGTTTGCATGGGACGACCCACCGGTCGACAACTGCGACTCGGAAAGCGGGAGCGACGACAGGCTTCGTGGAACCTCGCCCATCAGAAAGTTGGGAAACGATGTCGTCGAGGCAGCAGACGAAGACCGCGTTGGCCGTGTGCTTGACGAAAACGACATGGTACAGGATTTACCCGACGTCTGGAGGGCTTGTCCCTTCACTGCAATCGACTGACGGAGCTTGTCCATCTGGCTTTGAATGCTGAAAATGATCGAGTCCACGTCCGAGCCCGCTTCGCTCACAGAAGGGTCACCGCACAAGGAGCCGTCCGCAGACGGGAAGCGCTCCCTGCCGCAGAGTGACCCCCGGCTGTACGCAAAAGACTCGTGCGTCGCTTCCTCGTAGTTCTTGCGAGCCACGACGTGTTCCAGAAACTTGCATTTTTCGTCCAGCTCCTCAATCTTTCGCGATATTATGGAAACGTGGTCGAGCTGCTTCCCGGGCACCACACTCTGCGCGCGGCGCGGAGGCAAAAGTGATACATTATCGTCGATTTCACCGCCTTCATCGTCGGATAGAGTACCATCGGTTGAATAACGACGACGGTCTGAGCGTGGAGCTCGGACCGAGTGCTCATCACTAGGCACACTTCGCCGTGGGCAAGCGTTATTCAACGATCGGCGCCATCGGTCCCGAGAATGACCATCGCGACCACTCCGATGGTCCGCGAGCATCTGCTGCAGGCGCAATATCTCGTTCTCAAGCAGCGTGTTGCGGTCTACGTCACGGCTGCTACTTCTACACCGTCGGTGGCTGCCGTTGTTCGCGCGACTACGTTGTCTGCTGTTGGAAGGGCGGTAGGCGGAGGCGGAAACACAAATCAAGGGCTCCATACGGTCATCACAAGTTGAGCTGTCTTCTTGCTCCAAGCTTGGCCGAGTCAGCTCGTCACCAAATGATTTAGACTCTTGGCATCTCTCAGAACTACCCGTCGAGCAATCATCGCTAGGGGACGGTTCAGCCTCCACTTCACTTGTTGCCGGCGAGGCCAGACACGCGCGACGCAGTTTATTAAACGCCACCATCAATCGGAAACGCTGAAGTCTCATCGTAACACACCGGTTCTCATCAATCCACCGCCGACTATGCTTCTGGATAATGCTAGCAGCAGCATGCTCCCGTTTCTCGTTCACCGATTCGTCATATTTGCGTTGGGCAAGACAACGTTTGTCATCCAAAGCTTTTGCAAAGTGGCGCTGTGCCAGGAAAAGACGAACGCGCATTTGCATGAGGCGAACCGCGGCATCGTAGCGCTTGGCCTTACGCATCTCCTCAACCTTGTGCTGCGCAGAAGACCGCTTCCAGCATGCCTGAATACGAGTGGCAGCATTTGCTCGACGCAATAGGCGCAATTTGTCCACGCGCCTCCGTCCAAGAAATCCTCGAACGATCGCCTGTACACGCACCACAACGGCACGCAGCTCCAGAAACCATTTCCGGCGCCGGTACCCGCGGTAGTGCTTCTGCAGCACAGTCGCACGATGATTGCGCAATTCGAGGCGGTACCGGCAAAAGCGAGTGTAGGTGGTAGACCGGCAAAAGACTAACGTCTTGCCCACCTGCACGTCCTTATGGCATTCATTACGATCAAGCACTCGTCCGTTGCCGTACTCAGTGACAGCAGTCAGAACGCCGGAGGGGTTCTCTTTACAATCCACAGTGTCTTCCCGACAGTCTTTGGCCGACAACACGGCCACAAGGGCTTGTGCTAAGTCATGACTCGTCATCGAGCGATCACGCTCGCTCAAGAAGCACTTGAAGCCTGAAAAGAGATCAATAAAGCTCGCATGCGCAAGACGGATAGGGTATCCATGACGTGCGATACGGACTGCCTCTAACACACCAACGGAGCGCATTTGTTCAACCACCCTCACACGATCAAAAACCCCGGGCTTCTTCAGTTCGTTGGGCTTCAAACAGCGGATGTAGTGCGCCTCCGTGCGTCCGATCTGGACTAAGAGGCGGTCCAGCTGATTCTTAAATTGTGCAGACACACTAGGTGCTCGCAGCATGGAATAGCGTCGCCGTCCAGCTGATGCGTTGTCTGCACCTGGCATATCCGCGTCATCCTCTGCCCCGATCGCCTTCACCACTTCGTTTCTGGAAGAGGATAGGATACTACCTGCATCAGCAGGAAGTGTATCCGAATTTTTCTCAATGAACTGTTCGACGTTGTAGCACACGCGTCCTGCAAAGTGGTGCACCACAAACTGATGGTTCACACGTTCCATCTTTGACGCAGAGAAAGTGTGCTTCTTCAGGTCCAGAAGGACAGCTTTCTCTTGAGACTCGGATCGATGCAAATACTTGCTGAAAGACGACATCAGCTGCGGCAGAGTACTCTTAGCAAGTTGCGGCTGTTGGAGGAGCCCTGTCGCTTCTATGAGCCTGTCCCCGCCATGATACCGATAGAACTTGGTGCTCAGCGCTTGGTTTGATCCTTTTGGCATCAGACATTCCTGGTCCAGCAGTGAGAATAAGCCGTTGCTCTTGTCATCGAATAGAGCTAAGCAAGCTGCATTGCTGGGGTACGAGATGTTCCTCCAATCGATACCCTCCGCAATGTACACCTGCTGTTCACGCTCGAACACGAACTCATTAAACTGTGCTTGCAGTCGTTCGTTGGCATAATTAATGCAGAGTTGCTCGAACCCGTTACTATTCAGGCTCTCAAAGCCAAAAATATCGAGAATGCCAATCGTAGCCAACTCGTCGCTTTCGTCCGAGATCGACACGGCCGAGTCATAGTAGTTGATTCCGTCACTAAGACGACGCACCAGCCACGTAAAAAGTCGACCATACACAGCCTTCGCTAGCGATCGGCAGATCTCTTTCGCCTGCACCGGATCATGCTTCAGCACCATCACCTCCGCACCAGCCTTAATTTCTCGACTACTCAACAGCGTCTCCAATTCGTTTACGCTCACACCCATCAGTTCAGCACACTTCTCCAAATGAAACCGCGATTGCGCAGTCACAACGGTAGCATCAGTTTCCTGTCCACTCGCCACCATAAAATTGACATTGCCAAGATGCAGCAATGCTGCCAAAATCTTGAAGATCGCGAGTCGCTCTGGCTCTTCAACGCCCGTGTCCTCAAAAGCCCGTACAGTCTCAACGAAAAGATGCGCGTACCTCTCCGTCATCGCTCGCTGTCGCGCAAATTGAGGTCCATATGAATGCAAAAGCTCGTATGTCCCTCCCCTCTCCAGTCCCAATCCACGCAGCAGCTCCGCGTCTGCGCCTTCCAGCAGCTCGTAGAATATGTGAAAACTCCGTTCCCCTGGATTCTGGTGCAACACGCGCACTTTCTCGAGCAAGTAGCTCACGATCTGCGCCCCCACGATCTCGTGCTGGGCGCTGAACTGGATCTTAATAAACTTGCCAAAGCGACTCGAGTTGTCGTTCCGAATCGTCTGCGCATTCCCAAACGACTCCAAGATCGGATTCGTCTGCAAGATCCGCCGGCCAATGTCCACGGCACCATTCGTTTTGACAGGGTCCGTGGCCGCGTCCCGTCCCACGCTCGTCAGAAACTGCATGAGGAACTTGGTGCTCTCCGTCTTGCCACTCCCACTCTCGCCACTCACCAAGATGCTTTGATTCGTCCGTCCCGTCGCGTTCCATAACCCGCCAAAAGCTTTGCCTCCAATCGCAAACACGTGAGGCGGTAGCTGTCCTTTCTTGTCCGCCGCATTGCCGCGGAGCGACAGCGCCGACGCCGACGGGCGCATCGTGCGCTTGTAGGCGTCCAATTGCGTCGCTGCGTAGAGCGTCGGGAGCGGTTTCAGCGGGTTCAGTGCCACGAGAATGTCGCCGATGAACGTGTAGATCTCATTGTGCGCAAAGCGGTCGCTCAGCGCCTGGAGGAGCGCCGCTTCGTGCAGATGCTCGAGACACGTGAGACGTGACGTCGTGGACAAGTTGACCGACATGTTACGTAAACACAAGTCGGTTTCATTTCCTGGCGAACGACCTGACGACAGACAGCAACAGAGAAAGGGACAGTCAAGTGATGGTCAGGGGTAGGTGACACCAAGTACGAAAAAGCGGACAGGAGCGCTCGACGGAAGCAAAACGACAGGGAGAGAGAGGGAGGGGGGCTGGAAGTACTCACGCGTGACGACAGTGTCTGTATCGGAGCGACGCACTTGCACGAGGCCAGTGACGTCATCGTAGCCAATCACCTCGCCTGCCGCCCACACGACGGCATCAGTGGTCTTGACCCAGACGTTCGTGCCCACGTCCATGGCGGTCTAAGGCCCCTTTTCTATCAAAGGCAAGGCGCAATCTGGGGCGTCTTGTGCTCCCTTTCGCAAATCGGGTTGTGGTCCCTCCTTGTGGGTCCGAGTCCGCTTTCTTCTTCGTCTCGAGTGAGTATACACCGATGTGCACATGTGATTTTTCGCATACGGTCAGAAACGGGCCTTTTTACAGCTGCGACGTTGGTGGGCGCACAGACGAGACGGCAAAGAGGCAGCACTTTTGTGAAAGACAGTCAGTCGTAGCGCAACGCCGATGGAAGATGCTGCCGCCTCTGGTGGAAGGCACCGTCGCCACCCCCAATGCGCAACGTGCACGGTCTTATTCGTCACAAAATTAGAGCAGCTAGGACTACAAGTGCCCACTTTTAAGTGAACGTGACTTAACGCGGCGACGAGACGAGCAGATGTAAATGAACGAGAAGTATACCATGTGGCTAGTGACGAGATTGCATTGACAACTATTTCTGCAGTTTAGAGGCACTGAAGTGTCGAAACTGAGGCAAGCGGGAAGGTCGAAAAAAACTGCAGCAAACGGGAAGGTTGAAACCAGCCACCGGGGAAGCGAATGCCTCTTCATAGCCGGAGATGACGTACTGCCTCGAAGAATCTGTTCATCTCTGTGCCTCTGAATTTAGCCCACATGTCTGGAGGGATGGGTGCTACTGGATTCGCCGTTATCTGAAATATTTTGCTAAAACTTTGTGCTGAGTCTAAATCAGTCCCCGAGTGTCCAGATGTGGACTGCCCCGATGGGCCGAGAAGAGCTACAGAGATGCGGCTTCCTAGCACCGGACTTCTCGCAGGGTGCACTTTTCTGAGGTCGCGTATAGTCCATGCACCTGTATGGTATTCATCTCCAGCATGTGCGGCGTATACAGCATATGTATAGTATTCACTTCTGATTTGGCGCATCGATATCGTGAAGCGAAACCGGTACGTTACCATGGCTCCAGTACGACCGTCGTTTGTACTGAATACCAAGGGATTTTCTCTTCGCACCCTGTAATTGCCATGCAAATGGTCGGTATCACCCAGCCCAAAAGTCCGCATGCAATCTAGAATACGACCAGGGGAAGCCATTTCGCTTGCCGATGCAGCAACTAATTGTGTAGCTCTAGGAACTTTGTCTCGATGTTTTGCCAATGTTTAAACACACCAGGTCGTCTACTACCTTCTACCTCTACTCTTATTTATGCAAACGTTTTCAGTTCAGTGCATCGGTCGTATGTCCTCGTTCTAAGGCTCTTATCTCAAGTAGGCTAAGCTGTTCTCAAACGATTCCAGCCGGAATCTCCGGCTAGACTTCAGGACCCACTCGCCCCTTACCAGCGTTATCTTTTTCAATTTTAGCTCTGCTATTACAGGTCAATAATGTTTGCAGCTTCTCCTTACCAAGATGGACTACTGACCTTTGTATTTGTAGCGATGTGGACTTACATAGGATCCGTGTGTGTTTTGGTTTTGACCAATCAAATGGTCTTGATAGATCTGCTCGATGTATCGCTTCAAGCAGTGCTTTTCTATACAATGTCATCGCAAAGAGTGCTCGCCTACCGCCGATGAAGCTCACGAAGTGCTCAGTGTTTATCCAGAAGTAGCCATCGATAAAGCTCTGAATATATTTATGATACTCTTCTAGTTGTTGATATTAACTGTGATGACGCCCATGGATTTTTCAGATTAGTCAGTCGTCACGTGCAGACATTGTGAGATTAATTTTAACCTCCCAAGTGTCTGACGTGTGTTTCTCTCTGTCAGGTTACCATGCCTTCTGAATAATGGCACTGTTGACATTAGCCGTGTCTTCAAGTACGCACCAGGACAGTCATGTTGCAGTGATTCACTTTTGCCCTCACTAGTACTTCCTCGTGTTCAGCTAGCTGCTGTGTAGGCAGAACCTCGGTGCCTTCTCTCCAGCACTTCCATGCGAACGAATCAGCTAAGTGGTACAGCGAAGGTTGTCACGAAATGCCTTGCTTAAGCTCAAGTTTCTGACATCACATCTGCGTACTCGTTTCGTTAGTGACAACGCAGCTATCTGCGCCTGGTCTTCGACTAAATTGAGCCTAATGGCGCGTCTGAAATTCTTTCTAGGTCACGCAACTACCGTCGAATCACATTTTTTACGAAATGCATGCCTTTGTTCGAGCAAGATGCTGGTGCATGACACGAATTCACATTAACGGTTCGTGTGGCCGGCATTCTGCTGTATAATATACATTGACAGAGCTCAGTGAAATGGACATGCGTATTATTATGCCCAATACGCCAAGCGTACTACCAGACCATATCGATAACGCCAAGATGGTATTTTGTCGTAAAAGGTATGCTAAGGACGTCGTTGTGCCCCAATGTGGAATACCAGAAGAATTCTATACGATAAGGGAGCTGTTAGAAGTCAATACACAAAGGCAGAGACTGCACGCACAACTTGATCTGGAAGAGAGAGTGCTATTGAAGCAGAGCTACCCTTACTCCTTTGTCAATGGAAGACTTCTAGACTCGTAGAGTCTCTTAATATTATCAAACTAAACGGGCATTAACTTAAAAGGGTCCCAAGTCTTACAGACTTAGTGAGACTTAACTCGAAGTGTACGTACAATCTCTTATTCTCTTAGTCCTGGTTCAGGGGACTACGACTCCATGGAATCACGTGACACTAATGCCCATTAGTACTTAGCCTTAACTCAGGTGCTGACTCTCAAACGATCAGAGACGTCTTAGAAATGCACGTGTGTGGAACTGATCAAAAGGGAAACTGAATATACTCACTAATTTGCCGCGATAACATAACTTACTTACGTCTTTGGCCTTAAAACTATGCTACCTACTCGAACAGTCCTCATCGCAGTTCTTCTTGTGTATCACACCAGAACTACGTCGCCTCTTTAAAGACCCTATTACGATAGATATTCTCTTACCATAGCCGCTAGGGAACGGTATGATCGCTTAGCGTATGTAGTACTAAAAGTGCGCCACATCAGCGGTACTGATCTCTCTGTGCGTACCACACCAATGTGTCTGGTTACCACAACCATTTGTGTGACCCCATTACAGTTATTGAGTGCGTTTTCTTCTATTGGATACCAATAAAATGCATCTGCAGAAGAAATCAATTTTTGAAACTCTCACAGTATCTCAGCGCAATCATGGTGTCAGAATGATGCCTGTACACTTGACTGGAACATCCACTTGATGCTTGCCTTCTAACAGGAGCGATCTCTGGAGCTTGCCTATTTATATAAGTAACTGCTTGCAAGCCCGGAGGGTGGAGCTATCAGTGACTGTGCGCAAGGTTGAATGCCGAACTTATGACATCGCTCTTATCTGTGTGCATGTCTGTAAATAACGCGGTAAGGTGTACCCCGCACGTACTGAGTGCGATCTAATATATCTTCCCCTCAAAGTATGTAGGCTCATTCCCGTTACTCTTTGGATAGGTCACTATTGTGGTGCTCGCTTGTGATTGGCATGAGACTGACCATTGGTGAATAGAATCATAGGCAAATGCTGGAAGCTCGTATGCAAAGAAAGGCCACGTTGCCTATGTACACTTCTTGGTTGATACATGCATGAACAGCATCATACTCTTTTTTCAGTGACTTCAGCTGGTGTACATCGTTTTTGACTTAATTTAGTTTTTACAAACTGAGTAACTTATATCTAAGGGAGAGCTCCAGAGCTTGCTTCTCTATCTTAGGAGACACACTATATTGCACTTTGTGCTACGTTAAAGGTACACCAGGCCATATTCGAATGCTCAGGGGTGAACAGGCTACATCACTTAGTACAACGTGTAAGGTAAACCTAGCCTTACTTATAGACAGACGGACGTACAAACATACAGACAGACAGGCACGAAGTACATATTGAAAAGCTCAGCACTCACCTAGCGCACAGACACTACTATCTTCACCCTCCGGGATCGCAATGATGATATGTTGTATGTAGTTGAATGAGATGATGATGTAAACAGCTGTTCCTGAGCCTTAGTGCATCTTTGTATCGATGTGATAGCTGTCTCATAATGTATTTTTCGGTTCCATTTCGATACACAACGTATGCGTACCGAAAAATTGTTCAACTGCTGAGATTTTTATTTACGATTTTTGTTATGTTGCCGATCATGTGCTCGTAATCGATTTATATAAAATTCAATGGGTGTTATGTCAAGCAAAGAAAAAGGTGATATTAATGACTTTGTGTGATGTTTAAAGGCCACGAACCAATACTGAACCAACTATTGCATCACATCCAACCATAAAAATGAAAAAAAATGATGGTATGCATGTAATTGAACCTCTGCTATCTACACACAAACGTCCTAGTAAAAAGCAGACTCAACTGCACATCCCGTCATTTGACAAATACTTCAATTTACTCCAGAATCCACCGTAGGTGATACCAAGGATATGATGGAGCAAAATTGACCTCCATGGCATTTGCCGAGCTTAATCATTACCGAATTCTATACGCGGAGTTAAACACCTTTAAAAGTGGGCAAGTATCGTGTCAGGATTACTCATTCTGACTGATCGAGGTCCAGTCATTGTGGTCTTATTTAAAGACCAATCATTTAGCTTCCAATCGTTGCTCCAATACTAGACTAAATAGGTGTACAACGTCTGCTCAACCAGTAGGGGTACAATTTGCTTAAGTTTAAATTATAAGATGGGCGATACCATATAAAATGTGAGCTATACAAAACAAAGCTGATTATCAGGAATCTTGAATACATTTATTTCAAAACAGTACATGATCCTCGCAAGTGGTAGCACTTTTTGGTCGCACCACTTTTCGCTAGACCTCTCCGTCCGCACTCTTCAATGTCCGACCGTCTTCGAGGCGTCTCGACGTGTCTTCTTCGGACTAGGTGTTTATTTTCGTGCTCGTGGTGGATCGCGTTTGCTTCTTCAATGGAGTTACTACTCGTTAAGTGGTAATTACCGCTTGCTGTTTACAACCCTTCATCCCTTTAGAGGCAC